TGTTGGGCCATGTTGTAATACACGGACATTTCGCGTTCAAAATATTCTTGGCCGGCAGGGGAGTTCTACCCCCAGTCTTCAAGCTTGGCCGCTACGACCTCATAGCACCAGGGCAAGTGCTCGTCGGCCTTCCAGCCTTCGGCCAAGAACTTCTCCACTGCACCATCAGCGGCCTTCACCGCCGCAGCTTCGGCTTCAGCCTTGGCCCTCTCAGCGTCATCAGCCCGCCGACGATCAGCCTCACGGACATCCCTCTCTTCGGCCAGTTTGGCCAGGGCATCTTCCTTGGCCGCATCGGCCTCATCGGCCCTCTTTTGCAAGGCTGCAAAGTCCTCTCGCAGCCTCCCTAAGCAGCTCATGGTCTCATCGGTCGAGGCTGCCTTCTGCTCAAATTCCTTCAAGCGGGCAATCTCCCGCTGCTGCCTTTTGTTGCTCTCCATGAGCATGAAGGCACCCTGCAACACAAAATGCTATCAGACAAGTTTGCAAAAATATCAAAGGAAAACAATAAGGCTAAGGACGAAAGGAATTACCTGGACGACAAGGTCCATCCCACCATCGTATATCTTGACATCGCCAAGCTTGTCAAGATACACCCGGTCCTTGGCCGGAGTGGCCTGAGAAAGCATGATGTGGCCGTCAACGCCATCGTTGAAAACACCCCCGTCCTTGGGGTATTCAACCTCCAGCTTATAAGTGGTCGTAGCCACCTCCTTGCCGGACCGCTTAGGCCGGGAATTCTCAGCAAGGGAGAGGGGTTGAGAAACATCCCCGGAAAGACCAGAGGTAAGGTCCACGAGGGCAGCTGCAGCACTGGATCCTCCTTCGTCCACAATCGGGACGGCTAGTGCACCGGCCTCATCGGCAATGGCAGAAGATGAAGCCTTCTTCGACTTCTTGGCGGGTTGCATGCCGGCCTCAGTCAGCTTCCTCTGAGAATCCTCCGTCAGCCTCTTTTTCTTCGGTGGGGGAGGTGGCCTCTTCGTTACATCACCACCGGCAGCTGCCTTCACCGTAGCCTCCTTGGCGGCCAACTCCGCCTTTGCCTTCACAGCGGCCTTGTTCATCACGGATCGACGATCCATTACAAAATCTACACAACAAGGAAACAAGTTAGCAAAGAAAAAGAACAAAGTAAAATGAGGACGCCGTAGGAGGTATTACCATCAGCTTCGGCAGGAACGCCCAGATCGGGGCCATCGGCCTCCTCGAAGGTTGTGGTCATCTTCGGCCACAGTTGGACGTCATCTTCCTTATCACCATACACGAAGTATCTAAAGAAGCCGATAACGGTCATCTTGTACTCCGTGATGTAATCCTTCACACTCCTCTCGCCCCCCCCCCCCCCTCCAGGAATGCCTCCACCTGAGCGTCTAGGATCGAACTCTTCGGCGGGTCATGAAGGTTAAACCTCCCATCATGGCCGACGGAAGGGAACTCAGTGCCACCCTCGCCCAGGGACACGAAGACGAATTTGCTCTTCCAACCATGTATGGATGAAGGCAAGTCCGTGAAGGTCCTTTTCTTTGGCAGTTGTTGCAGAGTGGCGTAGCAGGCGCAGTTCTTATGGCTCCCTCGGCCAATCTGATAAAGGTTCATGAATAGGGCCGTTGTCAGCCTGTAACCTAATTCAGCATAACGGAGGAGGAACCCCACCATCAGCGAGTAGCTGTTAGGGGTCAGCAAGGCCGGAGGGAGCCCCACCATGTCCAAATACTCCTGGATGAAGGGGTGAAGGGGAAACCTTAGCCTCTTGGCGAAGCTCATCGGATATACTCCGAAGTATCCCGACGGCGGATTGAGCACGTGGTCTGTCGGCCTAGGCGCCCTAACCCTCCCAAACGGCCCCACATACATCTGTGCGACCAAATAATCAGCAGTGCTGCTCTCCGGCTTGATAAGGAAAATGTTGGTGAGGTCCAGGTAAGAGAAACCTGGCCCCTTCTTCGGCCGCCTGTTCCTCTTCGGCCGCGGTACCCCCTTCACAGCATACACCGGCTTCGGGCACAGAATGGTAGTAGAGGCAGACGCCCCGTCCACTACGCGGGAGACCCCTGCGTCCTCACCCTCAGATGACGAGGCGGACCCTTCGTCCTCGTCCTCCTCGTCCACATTATCTCCGGACTTATACGGGCTCAAGTGCTCAATCTCCTCGACGCACTCCTCGATCACATCATAGTCAAGAGACTTGACGGAGGGCTCGTCGTCATACGGGTAATACTCCTCGTTCAAGGTTTTCATCTTAAACAACTCCTAAGGCACTAAAAGGATCTACTTTAGATATAAAGTGTTTTTGTGACAAACACTGGATCAAAGCCTAGAGAGGGCAAAATATGTAAGAAGTAGAAGAATGGATTAAGGAACTGACCTTGAAGTTTTGAAGAAGGTGAAGAACACTGAGCAAAGGCCTTATCTCTCTAAAATATTTGGGCGGCACTTCGTTACTCAGAATGCAAATGAAGGTTGTCCTCGGAACGGGGAGGGTATTTATAGCCCCCCTCCCAATGGTAACTACACGTGGCATCACCTTAGTGGCCACACCAACGGCCACCAATGGGATGCCACCATTCTGTCAAAGCAGGCCCTACGGAGCAAGGAAGGGAAAATAGCACCCATGACGGCCAACACAGCCAACGGCCATCCACGTTGCACCCGTATCGGCCATCTAATCGGCCACGCATATTATGCAAAGGAAGGCTTTACAACGGCCACAATACCCCAAAGGAAAGGAACCCAACGGCCATGAGGCCCTCGCACTAAACCCTTGATGATAGCCTTTGAAAGCGACCTGCGTCCAAGGGTTCTCCCACAGGGTTACCTTGGTCAGGAAATCGCCAAAGAGTTGGATCCAAGGGTAGTATGAGGATCCCACTTCAGCCTAGGTTTCAAGCTACTCCTTCACCCCTCAGTCACTCTTCGGCCTGAAGCAGTGGGGGACTGGGGGACTACACCGGCCTCAAGAATAGCAGGCAAAATGAGAAAATAAAAATATACCAAGTCCACAACTACAACATCAGACATGCACCACAACGTCAATAACATCGTGGTGCACCATCGGCCACAGCGAAGCTTGAGATCACGTGACACTTATCGGCTTTGAGACCGCACAGCACTCTCAGCTAGGAATCACAGAACAGGAGGCTAACGTACCTGGATCACCATCGTCCATGTACCACAACGGCTCCAAGGTCCTCACAACTCCATCTCCGGCCAGACAATGTTATCATCTCCAAAACCTTGGGCAACAAGGTGCCTTGTCACCCAAAGGCACATGGTGTCATCAACAACGGCCAAAAGGAGTGCACAACACCCTTACCGGCCAAAAGGAGTGCACAGCACCCTCACCGGCCACCCAAAACAAGACGCAACCCCAGCGGCCTCATCAGCCCAAAAGGAAAGTGCAACCATCAACGATCAAGGATTGGACGCTACCTTCATCGGCCACTCATACCAGAACACTCATCGTCCACAAACAAGCGCACCAAAGGAATAACAGCCTTCCCCGTCCACATCAAGGGGCAGGTAACGGCCAAACTCAGAACAGGGCCACCAACGCTGACAGAGAACGGCCCATGTGGTCCCGCGTCGGCCAAGAACATCAAGCACAGAAAATCTACTCTCCTTCACTCCGTCTGCATCTCAGCTTAGAGAGTGGGGGACTCCTGATGGAGTATATGGGTCTAGGCCCCAGGACCCACATACTCAGAAGAACAGAAAGTACAAGTCACTAAGCGGTGCCCTCGTCGGCCAGAGGACCCCCGTCGGCCAAAGAGGGACCAACTCAGAATATGATCCCGAAGCCAGGGAACCAGGGTGCCCTCGTCGGCCACAGAAGCCTCACAGAACCAGATCTTACACTTAATCATTTCTACACACATTGTATACGACCCAATAGCGGTCCAATTGTAAATGGGCCTCCCAAGCCCAAGTCTTGGGAGCCCAGCCCGTATTTTTCCAATAAATACTTCCTCTGGAGGTAGTTGTAGGGGTTACAAAATCATTCTATTGAAGCATTTACTTGCACTTCTCTCTCTAGCTCTCACTTCTCTCTAGATATATACTCTATCATTGGTATTATCATAAATCATTTTCAAAGTATGTATTATTCTTGGTTCATGGAAGATAGTTTGTATTATTTAAAGTTATTTTCCCTTTTTCTATTACACAAAAAATATTTTTTTACAAATACTATAACTTTTACTTTTTCAAAATAATTCTCTTTTCAAATATTAATATCTTGGGGAAAATAATATAAATACCCCAAACTTTAATGGGATGTGAGATAAATATCACAAACTTGCATAATATATATATATATATATATATATGTATACAATTTTATATAAATGATATTTTCCGACCATTATTGTATGCTTTTTACAAATACAAATTTATTGAACTAAATACATAATTTAAAATACTCTAAGCTTTGTTAGAATGCAATTAACATTCTAAAATTTCATTTGTGTATTTCAAGTTATGTACTTAACATCATAAATTGCATTTTGTGAAAAAATATATGATCATAATACTAATATAACTTTTTATATAAAGTTTGGGATATAAATATCACATGTGCAAGCTTGGGGTGCTTATGTCACACCTCTTCAAAGTTTGGGGTATTTAAATTATTTTCCCGAAATATCTTTTACTATAAACCACTTTTCATATTTTTTCTAAAATAAATCACTTGTCAAAACTAAACGCAAATGCAAACATCCCCTTAGCAGGTTTTAGTCTATATTTGCAGACTTGCATAGTTTAGTACGAAGTATGTTTTTACTTGGACTGAAATTTGGACAAATTTGTTGAACTGGTCTGGCCTGGTGTTCTGGTCTGAAGTTGTTTGTTCTTATCTAGTAAATGTCTGGTTTCTGTGTATTTTATAACTAAGGAAATCTGGTCTGGTCTGACCTGTTTAAGTCTGGTCTATTTAAGTTTGGTATGGTCTGAGGCTGAAAATAGTCTAGTAAAAACATCCTTGGTCTATTTGAGCAAACCTGGCATATTTTCATCTTAGCAAACTGCAAACAGGCTCTTAAAGTAATGCTGCTGCATGCTAATTGCTAATATTACTTACAAGCTAATTCTATAATGACTCCTCATGAAAAGTTTGAGTCACAATCGTCATCATATAATTATACCCCAAGTCCTAACAACTACGATCCTAAATACTACGTAGAATGCTAAAATATACTCTACTAAAACCACTCATGCTCAGGCATCATAATCACCTTCCCCGATTTTCATAATTTCATCCTTTGCTAGCTCAAGCATCTGTCAGCTTCTGTGCTTCCAATTCTCTGTGGAAGTCCATCCTTATTTTCTCCAATTCCAGCAACTGTTGAGTCTTTCTGCTCTCAATCTTTTCATATATCTCACTAAATTTATGGATAGAGTCCACCAGTAGTTTAAAGGAAGACGACTCATCCCCTCTACTTGTTTGTCCTTTCTTTGTTCTTTTCAGAAGAAGACCCTCTGAATTTTCCGAAATTGGACTGCCCCTCATCACGTCCATGCTGTTAAAAGCTTCACATAGATGAGATTTTACGTTCACGCCACAAGAAAGGTCTCCTCCTTGCTGTTTATGGTTTGGAGAAAGTAATGCGTCCATCTTTCGGAAGTATACCCACCTACCCAACACACTTTTGCTATCTCCAAACTTCATCTTTTCCTGTTTGTATTTCTTCTTCAGTGTATCCAAACGGTTTTTCCATCATTTGCAATGGAGCCAAAGATTCATTATTTTTTGGCTTGAGATTATGATGGAATAAAGCAAAATGGCTCACTAAACTGTCTGCGCTTCTTTGTTATGGAGCAGCAGTCAGTCCATGCAATCTTGGACGCGATTTTCACTATGGGTCATCCGGAAACATTCTCTCTGTGCTTTAGTACAGGGGTAAGACTGCGTACATCCGACCCCCCCTTACCCCACCATAGGTGGGAGCCTTTGCGGCACTGGGGTAAATGAAAATGATGAAAATGATGATGTATCCAAACGGTTCCTACATTGTGTGTCTGTCCTCTTAACTTTGGAGTATTGAGACACTTCTTTTGCAAGTTCTTGCCATTCATCGAACAGAAGGCTTTTCCTCCCTTGTTTAACAAACCTATGGCCCCAAGCTTCTAGTAAAATGAATGTCTCGTGCTCGGACCAGTCACCAAGAGAAGGCGCCTGAGGCGCCAACTCATAAACAGATAACAAGCTGTTCAGCCTCCTGTTCTTCTGATACTTTTTTGAATCTCCATTGTCCTCATAACCATCTTCCTCCTCATGCTCTTCTTCTTCCTCCTCCTCCTCGTCATTGTCTTTTTTTGTATTATCATCCCATTCGGCTTCATCATGAGGATGCTTTTGATTATCAGGTGACCCGTAATCATCGCTTGTCCTCCCCGTGTTTGTAGCATCATTCTCAGTGTCATCCATCCACACAAAAGTCACAACAGCTCAGTCTACTTATGAAAATAATCTCTTTCAGCAGGATACCCTAATTGCTAATTTTGCTTTCCAAGATCCAGTCTCCTATAGTCAGTCCTATGCCGGATGCACCCCAGTCATCAAAGTGGGCAGAACAGATCCCCAAAAAGCAACTGAACTGTTTTTCCTCTAGATGTCAGATTCTTTTAGTAGACCCAAAGAATATACAAACACTTCGATTCCACTTTCTGTTTTTTAGCCTAGTTTAATATAAATATCCTACAAAAAAATCAAATCAACATCAAATTACTAGTCATTCCCGATACCTGTAAATGAACACCAATTGCTTTCAGAGACAGACATCATACCTAAACCAAATCAAGATATAGTTCCAATCAAGTGATCAACCAACACATATATGAACAGTCAATACAATTCAAATGATGAAGACTTTCCAATTCCACTGGATTACAGAAGAAAACCCAGAACAAGAAATAGACCGCTCTTACCTCATGAAAGTACTGAATTTTGTTCTAGAGCAGCTCTGAGTTTGGAAGTGATGACCAAAACGGAGCTTCACAGGTGCAAAACTTGGGTGAGAATAGATGAGGACGTGAGAAATTGGAAAGGGTAGCAGCAGTTTCTGTAATGTAGAGCGCCCGTTTGCATTTCTTACCGACCTGGGATCTACTGAAAGTCTACTGCCCCAGCTGGGAATAGGATTTAGTCATGTAGTGACAGGACTAACAGGAAGGAAACACGTGCAATTGGATTAAGGGTGTTTGGAACTTATTCTTTTTATAGGTAGGCCTCTCAATGGGTCGGGTCCGGGTCGGAATGTAGTGCCCAGACCCAGACTCGCTGAGTTAATAATGGACCCGGATCCGACCCATTACCCGACGCGTCTGAAAATTTGGACCCGGACCCAGACTCAACGAGTCTCGGAATCGGGTTGGGTAGACCCGCCCGCCAATTCCAAGTATGATACGTACACCATTATAAACTTTGTGAACATAACAAGACATGTATGTGAAAAAATATGGATTTAAAAAGAAAAAAATATATCTTCACTTTTCAAAAAACTTGATCGGCTTAAATTTGCAAGTGTACAAGTGCCAATGTAGTAATAAAATCCGGTAGAAATACCGGGTCGAACACGAGGAAACGTTGTATATATGATTCAAAAGTTGAGAATAGAATTTGTAAAAGACTTAGTAAAAGAGTATAGTTTTTTGTTTTTTAAGTGATAATAAAAGCAACCAAGGGTTCGGGATTACTCCTAAACGACTCCTAGTAATGAATATATGTTCTTTCACCAATTTCTATGAGTGGAATGTCACTAAAGTATTCTAACTCCTATTACGGCAGCAAGATTGTGATTAATTCTACGTGTGGATCCCGTCACGGTTCACATTCATCTAAAATTAAACTCATTGAAGATTAGGACATTATAAAATCCACCATATTCAATTGAGGTATATTTCTATCCACAATTAGAATATGTCTGCACCTTTAAGTGCACGGTTTATAACTCAACGTTAATTGCTCAAATAAACCCAACGATATAATCATACGTTGTACACCGTAGTCATACACATTAAAATATAAAGGGAAGATCATAATAATTTGGTTGAGAACATACATCAAACACCTAGAGTGCGTACAGTTTCATCCCTAACCTTGGATATAGAAAATTTAGCTAGAACGATTCATAATGAAATTACAAGTATTGAAATGATAAAATACAATTAAATACATAAGAAAGTAGTACCACAACTCCAAAGCTATGGTGGACAATGGAATTCCCAGAACTTCTCTCAAGACCAAGGGGTTGATCTTGGAATGCTAAAATGGAAGTAAAGTGTATGGCATATGGAATATCTTGTTGAAAGGGCTTCAATCCAGGGGCGGATCTAGCATAGGACCAGGGAGGGCCTAGGCCCCACCTCAAAAAAAAAATTACTAGTATATATATATATATATATATATATATATATATATATATATATATATATATATATATATATATATATATATATATATATTATATATGTACTGTGAAGCAATGGTATAATTAGAACAAACGTCCTATTATAAACAAAAGCTACATTGGTGTGATGGTAGAGGTGTGATTGTGCAGTCTAGAGGTTATGTGTTTGATTCCTATCTAGAGCATATTTTTTTTATTTTCCATCCAAGTCCAGGAACAAGCTATCTTACACAAATCAAGTTGAATTTAAACTTTTGAATACTAGGATGCAAAAATCAAGTAGTCCAACTAATTGGGCTTTATTAGTCTGAAAAACCAATTAGTTCAATTGATTGAGCTTTTTTAATATTGTCCTAAAAATTAATTAGTTTTATTCATTGGACTTTTGAATATTGACCAAAAAATTAATTAGTTGAATACATTGGATTTCGTAGGTGAAAATAAGTTTTCTTTACATAGAGTATAGATTTTAGATTAAAAAAATCGGTTTATCTTGTTTCCGAGAAACTAACCTAAAAATGGGCACTAAATATTTGGGTAACCGATAAAACTTCGGTTCGATATTTATGACTTTTAAGATAATTGTATTGTCGGTTCCGTAATATTCAATTTATTCTTTGACATTTCTATAATTTACATTTTGACTTCTAAGATATTATTATATTGTATTACATTTTGACATTTTTTTATAATATACGTTATTTGATTAAATTTTGGCCCCACCTGAACGTAAATGCTAGATCCGCCCCTGACTTCAATCCTCTTAAATAATGAGTCCTCAACGGCCATTTTTGGACAAGGAAGCAAGTTCCTTAATGAGGTTTGGAGTTTCTCCCAAATGATTATGATGACCGTTGCTTGTTTTAATCGATTCCAGACGAAAGGCGGGCGACAATCGCGAAAGCCGGGCGGCTTTCGCGCGTTTAAAATAATCATCTCCGCTCCAGGGGTCGAAAGTCGGGCGGCTTTAGCCAAATGCCGGGCGGATTTTGGCTGGTTTTATTGAAATAATTCTACGGCGCCCAAAGCCGGGCGCCTTTCACGAAAGCCGGGCGCCTTTCACGAAAGCCGGACGACTTTCGTCTTCTTTGAGTCCGGGGCCTTTTCTTCATCTTCAGACGGCAATTGGTTGGTTTGCGTGTGAAAACCGGGCGGTTTAGGTGAAAGCCGGGCGATTTAGGTGAAAGCCGGGCGGCTTTCACCCCTTTGGTGCATTTCCCTTTCTTTCTTTTGTTCCTCGGGATGCGTTTGGTTGACCTTCTCTTGTCAAAATCTTTCGTTTGTCTTTTCATCCTCGTATTTGGTCCAATTGTCAATTATAGTATTTCTAGCAAAACGAGACATATGTGTGAGGGTTTTATTCTTTTAATTATAAAAGCGTTTATAAATTGTTGTATAAAATACGTTAATAAAATGCCTATCAAATACCCCCACACTTGAGCTTTGCTTGTTCTCAAGCAAATTTAAAAACTTTTTGTGAAGATATTAAGATAAAACCTTAAGAAAAAATCTTTTAAAAAAGGTTTTGGAGGACAAGGGTTTTGCTAAAATATTTTTTTTCCCCATAAATTATGGACCAAAAATGAACAATTTTTCAAAGTAAAGTCACCCCCACACTTATTCCACATTGTCCCAAAGTGGATCACAAAGAACGATTTAAGCAAGGCAATAAACTCATAGCACATAATAATAGTTTAGAGGCACATTAACAACACAATGGTGTTCACATTTCTTGGAAGTGTACAAATTTAAAAAGAAAAAAATATATCTTCACTTTTAAAAAAAATCAAGTTCTCATAGAAATTAAAATTAGTATTTTTATCTAATAAAGTATCGCTTCTTGTACAGGGATATAGCTCCACACTCTATGTCACTTTCTCTCGCACAAAAAGCTCGTAGAATAAACTAGAAATCAAGTCATAAAAGGTTTCTTGGACTACTAAGAGTATAAAATCATATGTAGTACTATATATGATAATGATATAATAATATTAATAATAGTAATAAGTATTGTGCTTTTTCTACCGAGCCCAATACACACTTTATCAATATGTATTTACGACCAAAATGGGCATTAGTTTTAGGGTATCTTACTATCTCGATCAATATCACTTATATAATAGTTATGTATTAATGTCTATATTTTTATTAAAGAATCACAACTAATAACTTTATGTATTATTATGTATATATATGTATATTACTTTCTATTTTATTTAAAGTGTTGTAACTAATCACTTTATGTATTAGTGTCTACGTACACAAATAAGAAATTTTAAGACGGGTTCGGGTCCTTAACGGGTCGGAATCATATGTACCATACCCGACCCGTTTATTTAAAATACTAACGGGTCCGGATCCAGGTCCGGGTAAACGGAATAAAATATAAACCCGTACCCATTAAAAACAACCGGGTCCGGGTCAGATCCGGGTCTAGACCCGACCCATTGACAGGCCTATTTATAGGTGTTGTTTGAATCTGATTCTTAAAACTGCTTCTGCTCATTTAAATAGTCAAATACTTAAACCTTATTGGTTGAAATAGGTGGTGAGAATAGTCAAATACTTAAACCTTATTGGTTGAAATGAGTGGTGGGAATAGTCAAATACTTAAACCTTATCTATTCTAATATAAAAGCAAAAGAAGTTTGAGGAATAGTGTTCCCCCCCCCCAAATATCAACATCAAGTTTTATTTTAATTTTTATTGGATGCTTTATTTTGATTAAAATACTAATTTTCTATTGGTTGAAATGAGTGGTGGGAATAGTCAAATACTTAAACCTTATTGGTTGAAATAGGCGGTGGGAATAGTCAAATACTTAAACCTTATTGGTTGAAATGGATGGTGGGATAGTCAAGTACTTAAACCTTATTGGTTAAGGCCCGATTGAAGAATTATCATATTTGAGTATTGTTTAAATTATCATAGCACACCCCCTGATTTGCCAATTTACCTGGGCAATTCGTGTAAAAAATGCAATTCGTATAAATGCATAGTCACCATATTACTTGAGATGTTTATACTTAGACTTATTTCAGTCTCAAACCAAACCAAACTTAAACAAAACAGACCAGACCATACTTGGATATTAGAAATAGTAGAAGCATCTATTTGAACATTTTCCCACAAATTTAGATTCAAGTATAATTCAAGAATGACATAACACACTTTCACATATTTTACTCCCTTATTTTACCTATTTAGAGAGACAATTCGTCTAAAAAAAGCAATTCGTGTAAATTTAAAAATTCTAATTGGCGATGAAGATGAAGGAACCATTGACAAAATGACAAGACTCAGAATGTTGTATTCAAAGAAGTGTTCAACAATGTTTAGGTTTACATTAAATGTATATTTACAATGTGATGGTTTCAACGTATTTGTTAGATGTTTTTGATCTTTCAAGTAATGTTTGGTACTCTCATTTTGACCACAATATTATAAGTGTGTTTCATTTAATGCTTTTATGTATATCAGTATTACATGAAGATAGATGATGTCATCAATTGATAGTTGATTTGAATCACTAAGAACACATAAATTTGAAAGAAAAATTCTCAGACCATGCATCGCACGGGTAAGTTTACTAGTATGGTTAAAAAACAAGCCCACATTCCCTCTACCTGGACCCAACAAATGTAAATAGGAAACATCGACTTCCACATTAGGAAATCAAAACCCTTCCGACCATTGCACCTCCTGAGCGAAGACTTCATCTTCTCCAACGTTCGATCCACTCAAAGGGAACCCCTCCGCTGCCACCATCGCACCAGTATGATCTCTCAACAGAAACCCGACAGCTGATTTCCCGTAGTTCCTGAAGATTACCCAGTTTAGCTTCCCATGAGGTCTCTTCGGCTTCATCCATCGACATAGTTGGGGCTTTCTTAGCTTAAACGAGACAGGTAAAAGACCTACCTCCTTGAGTTTTTCCGTACCCTGAATTTTATCATTCACACAACACCATGCTAACATGTATTTGGTAATCTTTTTAATTACAACATCCGTATTCATCTCTGAAGCATTCAACACAGAATCCCAATATTCTCTCCATAGATGCCAGGCTAAGACTCTAGGTAAAATTAAAGTATAACTTTTATCCATTTTTTACCTTTTGTTGAAATCCACCATGTCATAATCTGCCCCTTAATGTTCGTATCCTTGCCATTTCCTGCCAACAGAGAATTAGCAAAAGAACTCCAAACTGAGTTTGCAAAAGGACATAAAAGCAGAATATGATCCTGGGAGATGCACTCCTTCTTGCAAAAAGGGCACATAGTCGAATAGACTACAAAAAAATCCACCAACCGCTCCGGAAATGGTAGCCCTTTGTTCCACAATCTCCAAAGGAAAACACTGATCTTTGGCACCTGCTTCGGATGCCATATAAGATCATTAGACAAAGCCCTACCCTATTGAGGCCATAAAGCCTGATAAGCTGATTTAGATGTAAATCTTCCATCTTTTGTGTATTTCCACTTTATGTTCTGTGTATCCCTGGTCACCATCTCTTCAGCCTTCTCGTGAATGAGGCTGATTCGTCTCCAAGTAGGCGAGTCAGATGGCTTAAAATCCCCCAAAACCCGTCTACCATACTTACTCCTCATTAGATCAGTCCAAATAGAATCACCCTCCTGATATTCCCACCATAGTTTAATGGTAGAGACAATTTGAATATCAGACAGGGACCTTATACCCATCCCACCACACTCCTTAGGCCTGCACATCTTCTTGCAGCTAATCCAATGATATTTCGGTTTATTATTCGTATAGCCCCAGAAGAAGGCAGCAACCTTTTTTTTTATCATGTTTGAGACTGACCTAGGCAAATTAGTAACTGGCAATAAATGTAAAGGTAAGGAGTTAAGCACATGCTTAATTAATACCAGTCTTCCCCCTTGAGACAACCACCTTTTACTCCAAGAAGATAGTTTTCTGTCAAAAGACTCCAAAAGGTCTTTACAATGTGACACTCTAGTAATTCCTTGGGGAAGCTGAACACCCAGATACTTAAAAGGCAGTTTCACAACTTTCATCTCCAGTAAGTTTTCAATTTGTAGAATTCTGGCTAACGTAGTATGTTTTCCAACCACGAAACAACTCTTTTCTTTGTTTACCAGCTGCCCCGAAGCACGTTGGTAAGTCTGTAAAAATCTATTAAAATTCTTAATAGACTTAGATGACCTGTTGAGAAATACCATTAAATCATCTACGAAGGCCAGATGAGAGATACGGATGCCTCTGCCCAGATTGAAAGGTTCAATAGCTCCTGTAGACACCAAATTTTTTAGGCCCCTAGAGAATGCTTCAGACATAATAATGAAAAGTAACAGTGACAAAGGATCACCTTGCTTGACTCCTCGACCAGGTTTAAAAAAACATAGGGGACCCCGTTAATGAGAAAGGATATGTATGTAGCACGAAGATTTCCCACAATGAGATCACTCATACACTGATTTAAACCAAACTTTCCCAAAATAGCCTGTAAGAAATCCCAAGAAACCATATCGAAAGCCTTAACCATATCCAGTTTAACCACAATGTTAGAAGATCTCACCTTTTTGTCTAAATTATGTAGCATTTCAAGAGCAACCAATACTTGATTTTTAATCTCTCGCCCTTTCATAAAACCGGACTGTTCACGGGAAATGATTTTTGGCAGTAAGGAATTCAACCTGCTTGCAAGAATCCTAGTGTTTACCTTGCTTATGAACGTAGATAAACAGATAGGACGATAATCACCAAAGGAAACAAGATTTTTCTTTTTAGGGATGAGAACCATATTCACACTTCCCACTCCCTTTGGAATAGGAATTCCTAAGAAAAATTCATGTACAGCAAGAATGACATCCGATTTAATTATAGCCCAGCAGCTTCTATAAAAAGTTCCCCCATATCCATCTGGCACAGGTGCGGCCTCGTGACTAAAACCCCAAACTGCTTCCCGAACTTCAGCTTCACCTGGAAGTCTCCCAAGATAGTCATTATCCTCTTCATTTAAAACATTAGGAATATTCTCCAGTACGCCTTCATAGGAAGAAACTTCTTCTTCCTTATAAAGATTGCTGAAGAAAGCCACCGCTGCATCTGCAATTTGATCCTTATCATAACACCTTTCTCCATTGTCTTTTTTAATGGTCACAATATTGTGCCTTCGAAACTTATCTTTCACCGCCTCATGGAAATAGTGAGTGTTAGCATCTCCCTCTTTTAGCCATTTTATTCTCGCCTTTTGCTTCCAAAAAAAATCTTGTTGCTTAGCCCTCAACAAGAGCTCTGCTTGTTTCTGGAAACAATTACTTCTATTGCTCTAAGTAGGATTTTCTTCAAAAGCCTTGTCTGCAATCATTGCCTCCTCTTCAATCTTCTTTGCTTCATTAAAAATATCCCCAAAAACTTCTTTATTCCATTTTTAATATCCATCTTTAGTCTCCTTAGCTTATCACACAGTCCCCTCATCCCTCCAACCATAGTCCGTAGGATACTCAGCCCAACACTTCTTAACAAATGGCAAAAATTCTTCGTGGGATAGCCACATATTTTGAAACCGGAATTGTTTAGGACCCTTCTGAGTAGATTCTTCACAGAGCAGTAAAATTGGGCAATGGTCAGGCAGCGATTTAGTCAGATGTTGTGTACTTACTACATTAAATTTAGAAAGGAAACCTTGATTAGCCAAGTAACGATCAAGTTTCTCCCAAACTCTACCATTCCTTCTCACACCCGACCAGGTGTAAGTAGATCCAATAGTAGGTAGTTGAACCAACTCACACCTATCAATACAATCTTGAAAAACCAGCATATCATTAAGAGAAGGGCTGGATGGCCCTTTATAATCAGCAACCGAAGAGACAACATTAAAATCTCCCCCTAATATCCAATCCAACTGACTTTGCTGAGCATATAGACACAACCCCTCCCTTAATCTGGCCCTGTCCGCCCTAGTATGGAGCCCATATACCGGAGAAAATGTAAAAACATAGTTCATAGGGATGAATTTGACCGTAATCAAAAGAAACCGATCCTTATCTTGAATGTCAGTTACCTCAAAAGAGTTGGAATTCCACATCAACCAAATTTTGTTACTTGTCGACATATACAAATCCGAGAAACCCAAACTAAATTTAAAAAAGCCCCCTCTTCTTTGATTCACAATCGGTTCAATAATAGAGACAAAATCAATGGAATGGTGCCTTACAAAATGACATAGCCTCGGGCACGAATTAGCAAGGCCACACACATTCCAAGAAAAGAGCTTCATAAGGAAACCTCAGCGGAGGGGTCTGTGTTGATCCTCTTAGCGGCCATCCTAGTTGTGACTGCCCGTGGAGGAATATCTTTAATCTTCCTATTTGACACCCCTTCCAAAACTTCCCTCTTTTTGTTTTCTATAGCTTCCACCTTATTTTGTAGTTCTACGCACACTGCTTGCCAAGCTTCTATTGCCATATCACCTAGTATGGACTATTCTCCATCTGAAACGAAGCCTTCTATGTCCACTCTCTCTTCCTCTTCATGACCACTGCCCTCTTCAAAGGAAATGAATTTGGTAACATTTAATGTGGAAGGCCCCACATCTATACTTTGCACTCCTTGAACTGCCCCATCATTTACCATACTCTTCTCTGCCTTGTGATTAACCGCCATCTCCTCAATTAATGCTTCAGCTTCCTCCCGCTTAGGAGAGTCCTCCAAATGAATATGCTCATCCGTTTGATTTACTGCCTCTACAATTGGTTGAATCAGTGTAGCCTCCTCCGCTTTCTTATGGTCTGCGACTCTTTCTCCTTTTTCAGTTATTTGAAGACTAGACTTCCCTCCTCCATTTTTGTCCTTTTTTTGACGTCTCGGCCTGCTTATCTTGCACAATCATCTTATCTTTTCCTTTCTTATTCCTCAAAACTTTAATCCACTGCTCTGGTCCCACCTTTCCCACCTTTGATTCATTTTTCCGTATACTCTGCCCAGCCTGGGCATTGCCTTCTGTAGGAGGAAGGATCCTAGGAACACCACACTCTTCATTTGAATGACCAATCCTACTGCACTTCACACAATATTTGGGAAGATCCTCATATGTAACCGTCTGAATAATTTCCTTCTTGCCATGCAATATTAGAATTTTTAGGGGATTTCTTGGAGTAAATCCAAATCCACACAAACTTTGGCCGTAGAGGGTCTAGAAAAATTAGTCGTTGCTACATCAACTTTAAGAGGCTTGCCAATCATTCCCGCTATAGAGAATAATGCCATTTTGTCTTGCAAATGAAGTGGTAAACCATCCAATGTAATCCATACCGGAACATCCGGAGACTCAACATCCGGTCAAAAATCCGGTGTCCATCTAGTTATTTTCATACGAAAGCCTCTTATGATCCAAGATTGCCGCAACCAACACCGTTGAAAATCCGCTTCCGATCCAAACTTAAGCAAGATATGTCGTTGATCAAGCAAGCCAAGCGTAAGAGAACCATTGAACCCAATTTTCTCAAACTCTTGCCTAATGATAGCCATTGATGGCCTCCCTCGAGCAAAAGAACCCACCAGGGCATATTTGTGTTGCTCCGCAAGCAATGAAACCTCATCTTCTGAAAAGCTAATTGCGGGCATACCACGATGCCTAAATGGCACTTTGAGTGGTATTTCCTTGTTAGCAGCCAAAACCTCAGCGAAAGACCTAACCGCCGCCCCGACCCATCGGCCGGGGCAGCCCAAACTGGTGCAACGACCATCAAACTACGACATCGCCAGAACAAGCTCTAGGGTTTTGTTACGTACTATTCTTTTTCCCTTACTTTTTCTTAGTATTACACAATTCAGCGCGCAAAAACAAAAGTTACGTGTTTGGTGAAAAGGTTGGCCGATAAGCTCGATAAGCCGAAAAACAGTGTTACCAAACGACCTCTTAGAGTTTGACAAGCTTCACGACATTCATGTATTACATTGAAGGATGTGTTCTCTTCCTTACACAAACTATATTATGATATCTAACAAAAAGATTTGACTTGATCTAATTTGATTTAAATATTTGTACTTTGACTTGAATTTTTCTTGTTTAACATTTATTTAAATGCATTTTTCTACATATGAACAAAACTATTTTGGAATTCAAAAATAGAATTACTACTGATGGAGTATATGAGTCTAGGCCCCACGACCCACATACTCAGAAGAACAGAAAGCACAAACCACTGCACAGTGCCCTCGTCGGCCAAAGGACCCATGTCGGCCGAAGAGGGACCAAATCAGAATATGATCCTGAAGCCAGGGAACCAGGGTGTCCTCGTCGGCCATGCCCTCGTCGGCCAGACCCCTGTCGGCCACGGAAGTCTCGCAGAACTAGATCTTACACTTATCCATTTATATATTCCATCATTTACTTTGTATTCGGCCCAATAGCGGTCCAGTTGTAAATGGGCCTCCCAAGCCCAAGACTTGGGAGCCCAGCCCGTATTTTTCCTATAAATACTTCCTCTGGAGGTAGTTATAGGGGTTACAAAATCATTCTATTGAAGCATTTACTTGCACTTCTCTCTCTAGCTCTCACTTCTCTCTAGAATCTAGATATATATTCTATCATTTGGTGCTCTCGTTGAGAGCTAGAACAATCAAGTTAGCACCCTTCGTCGCTACCAAGCACACCTAACCACTAATCATGGGAAGAACTAAGTCAAACTGCAACCTCATCAGCAAGGCCATCCCTGAGGATCAGGAGACCAGGGAGCATAAGGAGAACGCCACGGCCGACCAGGTCGGCGGAGGGGACGTCTTCCAGGAGGCCATCAACCTCACTACGGACCTCCGCAACCAGCTCAACGGCGGCGCTTCTGACGCCCGAATCGTCCTGGACAAGAAGCGCGCGGAGAAGAAAGACCACGCCCCGGCCCAGCCTATGGCCGCGGTTTCTCCGTCTGTGGATCCACAGGTCCAAGCCACGTTGTCGGTCATCATCGCCAGCTTGGCTCAGAACCCCACCGTCCTCAGCGCACTCTTGCCAAGGACCGGGGGGAACGTCACTCCACCTCCTCAGCCCCAACCGTTGGCCGTCATGTTAGGCAACGATGAGGGGGTGATGGCCTAAGACACGGCGTCATCCCACTCCCACCCCGCTTCCCCTCTTCGGCCTGGGCAGACCCCAGCGCGTGGAAAAGCCTCTGCCTTCAATAGGCTTGGTGACACGCGCCGTCGTCCGGTTTCGGAGAGGATGGCAGGGCGGATTGGTGAGCGTCGGCCTGGCTCGCCAAGAGAAATCTTGGGGTCTGTGTCCCGGACAGCGGACCAGCCCCGCCTGGACAAGGGCAAGGGAAAGTTGCACGAGGATGACGTGCGCCACCAGATCAATGCGGCTCACGATGAGCGCATGAAGAACCAGCAGGGCGCCGCTGCGGCCGCCAGGGATCCCTGGGACAAAGTTATCGCCCAGCTGGAAAGGAGGCTGGCCCATATGGAAGCCAGGCAATCGGCAAACGTCCCTACGGCCGGCGTCTCCAACGATCCTGGCCTCAACGCTCTCATGAACAAGGTCAGCGCCCTTGAGAGGGAGTTGGCCGAAGGGCGAGGTGACCCCGTCATCCAGGTCAGGACCAGGACCCCCTTCACTAACAGGGTGCTCTCGGTCCCCATCCCGGAGAAGTACAGGGGAAACGCCATCAAGTCCTACGACGGCCGATCAGACCCCCAAGAGCATTTCAGCCGCTACCAAAATAACATGCTGATGGTGAACGCGTCAGACGAATATCTCTGCCGTTGGTTCCTCTCCACTCTTGAGGGGCCGGCGTACGAGTGGTTCAACGCGCTTCTAGAAGGAAGTATTGACTCATGGCAAGACCTTGCCCAGCGCTTCCTCACCCACTTTGCCAGGAGGAAGCGTGCGAAGAAGTATTTCACCCATCTCCTCTCCGTCAAGCAGCAACATGACGAACCCCTCCGGTCATTCATTGATCGGTGGACGAGGGAGACCGAAGAGGTCGAGGGGGACGATGAGCGCACCCTCCTCGTCCTATACCAGGGAGCCCTCCGCAGCTCCCCGTACGCCAGGAGCCTCATCACCGACCCTCCGAGGTCGTATGCAAAGGCGCTTCAGGGCGGGAGCTTGTATGCCGACGCGGACGAGCTCCACAACCACAAAAAAGAGGGAGGCCATCCCTCTAAGAAGACAAATCCTTCGCCAGCCCCGGGACCATCCCCGGCCGGCCAGGGTGCCAGGGCCGTCACGGCTCTGGTGGACAAAGCAAGAAAGACCGCCACTGGCGGCCGAGGTTGGAACGGCCGGGGATCCCCCTCACCCACCCGGTCAGCACCATCCTCGACTTCGCCGAGAAGCATGGACTCATTGAGCAAGCTCCTCGGCCGGCCGAGGAGGTCATTGCCATCCAGCAAGGCGGCACATACTGCCGATTTCACAAGAACTCCTCACACAACACCGGCGACTGCATCACGCTGAAGAAAGCCATCGAGCGCCTTATTCGTCAGGGGGAACTCTCCAAATTTGTTAAAGGTGGCCCACGCAAAAATACGTGGGTAAACACCGGTAAACCTGGGGGCGAACCCTCTACGAGGAAGCGAGAGATCGGCAGGCTCAGCGACGACGAGGACTTTGAAGAGCCTCCGCCAAAGAAGAACCATATTCACCTCATCGTAGGTGGGAATACCGGTGGGGACTCCGTCACCCAGAGGAAGAAATGGGCCCAATCCCTTTACATTGGGGAGGTGTCCCACGTTCCCCCCTAGCCGAAGAAGCAGCGAACGGAGACGATCACCTTCACCGAAAAAGATCTGCCTCCGGGTACGGAATCACACAGGGACGCCCTCGTCATCCGGTGTGAGATCGGTGACTCCATCATCCACCGCACTTACATCGATACGGGGAGCTCCGTCAACGTGATGTACCTGGACACCTTCAGGCAGTTGAAGCTGGACAAAGCTCTACTGAAGCCGATCAAGACACCGTTGTCCGGATTCACCGAGGACTCTATCGACGCCGAGGGCACGATAGTCCTCCCCGTGGAGGTCGGCGACGGCCCCCACCGCGCCAAAATTGACATGGAGTTCATGGTGGTCAACCTCCAGTGCGCCCACAACCTGATCTTGGGGCGGCCAGCACTGGAGGACTTGGAGGCCATCATCTCCATGAAACACTTATGTCTGAAGTTCCCCACCAATGGCGGCATCGGCTACGCCAGAGGAAACCAGAGGATAGCCAGAGCATGCTACCTCAAGCTAACGAGGCCGGCCGAGAGGGAAGGACAGAGGATAGACACCATCACGGCAGCCGCTGCCAAGGACGAGGAGAGACCGCATGCCGAACCGGCCGAGGAGGTCGAGAAAGTCCCTCTGGATACCTCCTGGCCGGAGCGGGTCCTCAAGATCGGGAAGCAACTCCCACAGGACCAGCGGGACGCCATCCTCCTCGTCCTACGGTCACACGCTGTCATCTTCGCGTGGGGCCCGGACGACATGCCAGGCATCAGCTGACAGGTGATCACCCACCGGCTGACCGTCGATCCAGCCTCCGCATCTGTCAAGCAGAAGCGGCGCTACTTATCCGCCGACAGGCGGGACTTCGTCAAAGGGGAGGTCGCCATGCTCCTCTCAATCAACCACATCAAGGAGGTGAAGTACCTGACGTGGCTAGCCAACGTCATCCTCGCCCAAAAACCACCGACATTCAGAATGTGTGTTGATTACACTGACCTGAACAAGGCATGCCCCATGGACCCGTTCCCTCTCCCCAACATTGATCAGTTGGTGGACGAGACGGCGGGATGCGAGTTGATTTCGTTCCTTGATGCTTTCAGATGGTACCACCAAATTTTCATGCATGAAGATGACGCTGAGAAGACGACATTCATGACCCCAGAGGGAATTTTTCCTACCTCGTCATGGCTTTCGGACTCAAAAAATCCGGCGCCACCTATACCAGGATGGTGGCCAAGATCTTTAGAGCATTCCTCGGCCGGACAATGGAGGCATACGTCGACGACATGATTGTCAAGAGCAGGCAAGCCACCACACATGCTGACGACCTCCGGGAAATTTTTGAAATCATGAAGGAGTTCAAGCTCCGCCTCAACCCCAAGAAGTGCGCCTTTGGCGTCCAAGGCGGCAAGTTCCTCAGCTACATGGTCAGCCGAAGAGGCATCGAAATAAATCCGGAGAAGATACAGGCTATCATCGTCATGGAGCCACCCCGCAACGTCAAAGAGGTATAACGACTGATAGGGCGACTGGCGGCCCTGAGCCGTTTCCTCTCCAAGTCAGCCGAGAGGTCACTCCCTTTCTTCCAGATCATGCGCAAAGCAAACAGCTTCAAATGAACGACGGAGTGCCAGGAAGCGTTCGAAGAGCTGAAGAGGTACCTTTCGTCCCCACCCGTGCTCTCCAAGCCCAAAACCGGCGAAACCCTCTTCTTGTACTTAGGGGTGAGCACGTCGGCCATCAGCTCCGTGCTCATCCGTGAGGACGAAGGGGTGAAGAAGGCCATTTTCTACACCAGCAAGACACTTAGGGAGGCCGAGCTCAGGTACCCCCCATTGAGAAGACGGTGCTAGCCATCGTCCATACGGTGAAAAAGCTGGGGCACTACTTCCAGGCCCATGCCGTGCATGTACTGACCCAGTAGCCCCTTGGCGCACTCATGAGGAGCCCCACTAGCTCCTCAAGGATGGTGAAATGGGCGATCTTCCTCAGCCAATTTCATATTGAGATCAAGCCAAGGCCATCTATCAAAGGGCAGGCCTTGGCCGACTTCGTCACCGAATGCACGGCAAGGGAGACAACCGCTACCACCCCCGGGCCAGAGCCTGATGACACATGGATCCTCTTCACCGACGGCTCGTCGGCCGCGAAATCATGCGGCGACGGCGACGTCCTCATATCCCCTGAAGGATCCAGAGCTTACTATGCCATCCGCTTCAACTTCAGGGTATCCAACAATGAAGCCGAGTATGAGGCCCTCCTCAGCGGCCTCAGACTTACCGCAAGCCTCAAAGCCAGGCACATCAGAATCAGGTGCGACTCCAAGCTGGTAGTGGGCCAGGTTGAGGGTACGTACGAAGCAAAGGAAGGCCGGATGAAGCAATACAAACAGGCGGCAGAGGAGTTGCTGAAGGCGTTCGAAACCCACGAGATCACACAGATCCCAAGGGCCGAGAACGCCGAGGCCGACATCCTCTCCAAACTCAGCTCGGACACTCCAGAGCACATCTCCAAGTTAGCCAAGATCGAGGAGCTGAGCATGTCCAGCATCCATGCCATCCCCATCTTGTGCATCCAACAACGACCGGAGGACTGGATCTCCGACATCACCACTTTCATCACGACGGGGGAGCTACCCCAGGACGAGGAGAGGGCCAAGCTCGCCAAGCTCAGGGCCCCAAGCTACATTATTGAAGATGGCAAACTCTACAAACGATCCTATAATGGTACTCTCCTCCGATGCCTACACCAGGACGAGGCCGATGTGGCCATGGAAGAAGTTCACTGTGGTGTTTGCTCCTCACACCAGGGCCCCTTCAGTATGTCCCGGCGTCTCGTCGTCCAGGGCTATTTCTGGTCGACGATGGCGCGGGATTGTGCAAATCTAGCAAGGAAATGCACCACGTGCCAGGTGCTCCAGAAGGCCCCTGGTCGGCCAGCCGTCAACTACGCCCCCGTCAGCACTGCAATTCCTTTTTCGAGATGGGGGATTGACCTGGTCGGCCCTCTACCCAGAGGTGCTGGCAACAACCGCTACATCATCGTCGCAGTCGACTACTTCACCAAGTGGGTCGAAGCGGATCCTTTGGCCAACATCACGGGGGCTAGGTGTCAGAAGTTCGTCCACAAGAACATTCTCACCCGTTTTGGTGTCCCCCAAGAGATCATATCCGACAATGGCACCCAGTTCGAAGCGGCGCCCTTCCAAGAGTTCCTTCGAGAATGGGGAATAAAGCACCGTTTCTCCTCCGTTGCCTACCCTCAAGGCAACGGGCAAGTTGAGAACGCCAACATAACCATAATGGTGGGGCTGAAGAAGAACCTACAGGACGCAGGAGGAAGTTGGGCCGACGAGCTCCCCAACATCTTGTGGTGCTATCGTAGTACGCCGAGGAGGGCAACAGGTGAAACACCTTTTGCTCTGTGCTATGGTTTTGAAGCAAAGGCACCCACGGAGGTCACCATTCCCAGCCGACAGGTGGAGCAGTATGACCCAGAGGTCAACGAGGAAAACATGAAAATCGACCTCCACCTGGTCGACGAAAGACGTGAACAGGCATTCATCCGAGCAGAGAACTACCGGCGTCAAGTAAAATCATACTATGACGCCAAGGTACGTTCCCGAGAATTCCAAGTGGGGGACTACGTCCTCCGCCGAAGGGAAGCAAGTCAGCCGACAGAAGGAGGCAAGCTAGCCTTGAAGTATGAAGGTCCCTACATCGTCAGTGCCGTGGCGAAACCCGGTACCTACAAGCTTAAACGCCCCAACGGGACCAATGTACCACGAACGTGGAATGTACACCATTTGGTGAAGTTTTATCAATAACCCAAAGGAGGTGCAGCCGGCGAAGCCCTCACCCTTTGACGGGTTATTGATTGAACGCCACCCTCGGCCTTGAGCCACTTTTGAATAAAAATCATGTTTCCTTTGATTTCTTGGAATTCAAGTAGCACATTAACAGGCGCCCCCATCGGCCACCTTAGAGCGAAAGGCTCAGGCATGGCCGATGTGGCGCTTCGCATTTGCAGCCTTAGAGCGGAAAGCTCCGGTATGCCCCATTGTATTTTGTATAAGCGAAAGGTTTAGGCCCATCTGAAAGAGCACGTCGTACCGGCCCCTCAGAGCAAATCGCTCAGGTAGGGCCGACGATGTCCCCGGGACGATGGGCCCGCAAACGGCCTGCGTCTTGAAACAGGAAGTTCACCGCGTCGTCCACGCGCCTGATCGCAGGACGACAAGCCTGAAATCATGGCCGAGGTGACAAAATCCCCAAACTCAGGGATGGGCAACGGCAGCCGTTGGAAACCAACCAAAAGTCTAGCCCGCGTCATAAACAGGCGACGGGACCCCCCCTGAGATCATGGACGTTATAAACGAAGTCCAAACCGGCGGAGGACTATCGACCCCTTCGGCCGAAGCCTGAAAGAAGGACACTCCCCGAAATAGGGAAAAAAGAGGGAAGCCGAGGACTGCGCGCACTTGCCGGCCTCGAGGTGTAAAAATAAATCCCCACAAATCAGCCACACATTTGGCTAAGTACATATCAGTTGAATACAAAGGTAACACTACCAACAGGTAACGATGGATGATGGTAACCTCACTACGTCCATTGATCATGTTGGAAATGAATTTGTAAAATTTTTTGTTGATCTTTTTTGCACCGAGATGGAAACCCTTTCCATTGACCAAACGGTACTAGGAACCGGCCCCTTGATTGAACCAAGTGTTCATGATAGCCTATTATCTCCGATAACTAGCAAAGAAATTAAAGATGCTTTGTTTGATATCGGGGATGACAAGGCACCGGGGCCGGACGGTTATTCCTCGACATTTTTTAAGAAAAATTGGAATATTGTGGGGGAGGATGTGATCCGGTCGACTAAGGAGTTCTTTAACTCGGGAAGGTTGCTTAAACAGTTAAATCATACTGTTATAGCACTTATTCCTAAAACTAGTCACTCTCCTAAGGTCTCGGATTATAGGCCTATTTCATGTACTAATGTGCTTTACAAGATTATTACAAAGATTATTGCGACAAGAATGATCCCGACCCTTGAGGGTTTGATTAACAAGGCACAAGGTGCATTTGTGGATGGCCGCCTAATGTTTGATAACATTTTCCTTGCCCAGGAACTTGTTAGAGGATACAATAGGAAGCGAATTTCACCTCGTTGTATGATAATGGTGGATTTGCGAAAGGCCTATGATACTATCTCGTGGGACTTTCTTGCCAATGTACTTAGGGGTTTGGGCTACCCCGATAGATTTGTGGAATGGATTATGGAGTGTGTTTCTACCGCTTCTTTTTCTGTCTCTTTGAATGGTACATTACATGGTTTCTTTAATGGTAAGCGTGGCATTAGGCAAGGGGATCCAATGTCCCCTTTGCTCTTCGTTGCATGCCTTGAATATTTCTCGCACCTCCTTACCATCAAAAGCATGGATTCGAGGTTTAATCACCACCCGCTATGTGGCTCATTGGGAATAACTCACCTGGCCTATGCAGATGATCTCATGCTCTTCTCGAGAGGAGACAAATATTCCATTGGAATATTGGTTGATGCTCTTAAAGAGTTTGGGGACGTCTCGGGCCTTAGAATTAACCATAATAAATCCAATATTTTCGTTGGTGGGGTTAATGGGCTGGATTTGCAAAACATATTGGACCTCGTTGACTATGGTCGTGGAGTATTCCCGGTGAGATACCTTGGAATCGCACTAGCACCGCTAAAAATCTCCGTGGCACAATATGCTCCCTTCCTTGATACGGTAAACGATTTTCTAAACGCGTGGAACACAAAGACGATCTCCTATGCCGGTAAACTAGACCTAATATGATCTGTGATCCAAGGGGTCCAGTCGTTTTGGCTCCAAGTTTTCCCGATTCCCCAAACTATTTTGGATAGGATAGTATCGATCTGTCGAATCTTCCTATGGGGTGGTAAGTTTTTGAAAGTAGCTTGGGAAGACATTTGTCTCCCAAAGGAGGAAGGAGGACTTGGCATTCATAATGCTAAGGTATGGAATCACGCCCTCCTCTCTCGTACTTTATGGGATGTCCATATGAAGAAGGACACCCTTTGGGTCAAATGGGTGAACGGTGTATACCTTCAAGGTAGAACCGTGTGGGATTTTATCCCACACACCCGGGACTCACATCTCATGAAGTGGTTGAGTCTCATCCGTGATAAAATCCGAGGGTGCTTCAATAATCTCAATGACACTATCATGGGCCTTGCCTCGAGAGCCTCTAATGGTAAATTAGCCTCCACAAAAATTTACGATCTCCTAAGGGTCAAGGGAGAAACTAGGACTCCTATGAGTTTGATATGGAAATCCTACATTCCCCCCAAACTCTCATTTAACACATGGCTGGCCCTAAGAAACCGACTACCTACACAAGATAGCCTCGGGTATCTTTATATCGTGAATCGGTGTGATCTCTGTAAGGGTGGTTTGGAAACAATACCACACCTTTTCTTTCTTTGCCCCTTTACTTGTAGGGTGTGGCATCACGTAAGGAGTTGGATGGGACCAAGGCATGAGATGTCTACCTTGTTGAGTTCAATCAAATGGATCAAGAAGATCCATAAAGGATCAACGATGAAGGCCAAAGCAGCCCGCATTGCTTTCTGTGCAACGGTGTACTACATTTGGCACGCAAGGAATGAGTGCAGATTTGATGGAAAAATGAAGACGGAGGAGGAGGTTATTGCTAAGGTCAAACATGTGGTGTATAAGGTACTCTACAGCATATACCCACATGAGTTGATCACTTTTTGATAAGACTGCTAAAAGCCGTTTATATAGCCTCGGTATCTGATAGGCTATATGCGTACACCAAGTCGCAGTCCCATACTATTTCTTTTTTGATTTTCTATGCCGCGGCATAGGTGAGCCTTGTGGCTATGTTTGGTGATGTCCGTTTTGAAGTGAAAGCTCCTTCCAACCCTCTCCTATCACAGGAGGGGGTGGGGGGGAGCTTCAAATTTTGTAAACTTTACTTTGGGTAATAATATATTTACATTTTATCCAAAAAAAACGTGACATGCAACAGTTGTCTTCGCACTTGCCTGATGAACATTGAAGGTAGTGCAACAATATTTATGAAAATAGGATATCAAATGATGAATTAAAATTAGCTTTAAAAGTAAATATGTAGAAGGCATGGATGCATTTTTGGTTAATATATGACCGATAATTACTTGCACCGTGCATTTCTACAAAAATTTAGATCTTAATGTGCTCGTGTGATTCCATTTATTGAAATAGAATGACACAATATACACACACATATGTATATATATATAGACGCACTCACACACACACACTATCTCAGTTCCTATATAATTTCAACGTGTTGATTTTTATACTAACCACTTGTCCTACTTTGACTATATTTTATTTATTAATGTATTAGACATTTTTGAAAAATAATGTTCAACTCGTCTCAATTTAAATTCCCAAAAAATCTTATTTTTAATTTTATTTTTACTTATAGCGAATTATATATATTAATAATCAAAGTGGCGTGTTGACAATAGTGAAAATGGAAGTGGTGTAGCTAACAAAGAACAGATTAAATATATGAAAATGAAACTTTTCGGGAGCTGTTGGGAATATTTTATGGTGTTCAATCTAGTTAGTTATCTTTGTATTTGTGTAGTTATTAATTAATCGTGTAATACGGGCCACAAATGTGTATCAGCCCGTGGGCTTCCTTGTAACCCGTAAGTTAGCCAACTTCTCCTATAAAAGGAGGCTAACTTACGGGAACCCAAACTGATCGATAGAGGCTTAGAGACGCAGAGGCGAGGTAGAGAGAAATTAGGGTTGCCGCCGCTCTCCTTCTCCAGGGAGAGTAGCGGTAGGTTCATACGGTATATCAGATTCGCGTTCAATCTTGTCGATTTCTTTCTATCTGCTTCTATATTAATGCTTATGATTGTATGATTGTTAGTATTTTGGGACTAACATTTGGTATCAGAGCCGAGACGTGAAACAGGTTGGATCTGTCTGCGATTTTTGGATTTAACGAATAACTGCTCTGTTTTTTCTTCAGTTTTTCTACATGTAGAGATTTGCTCCTGTAACCTCGTTTGTGAACGAAATTTTGTAAAAATCATACTGTTGGATTCGCCTTTCAAAACCGATCCAGCAGCATACCTCTTTTTTCGTTTTCTGCAATTTTTATATTTCGAAGATCTCTACATTGAGATCTCGAAATCCTTAATTCTCACTGCTGCAGAAACGTTTTTGGCTTGAAACTGATACAAGAGAATCTCGACTTTCAGGGCTATTCAGAACAGGTTTCAGTTTTTCAAAAATCAATGTTTTCGTTTTGCAGGATCTCGACATTTAGGGACTCGATTTCTTCTTCTCGACATCTTGATCTCGAGATTTGCATCTCGACATCTTGATCTCGAGATTTGCATCTCGACATCTTGATCTCGAGATTTGCATCTCGACATCTTGATCTCGAGATTTGAATCTCGAAATCTTGATTTCGAGATTTGCATCTCGACATCTTGATCTCGAGATTTGCATCTCGACATCTTGATCTCGAGATTTGAATCTCGAAATCAAGATCTCGAGATTTGGATCTCGAAATCAAGATCTCGAGATTTGAATCTCGAAATCATGATTTCGAGATTTGAATCTCGAAATCAAGATCTCGAGATTTGGATCTCGAAATCAAGATCTCGAGATTTGAATCTCGAAATCATGATCTCGAGATTTGAATCTCGAAATCAAGATCTCGAGATTTGTAGTCTAATGTTAGTCCCAAAATACTAACAATCATACAATCATAAGCAGTAATATAGAAGCAGATAGAAAGAAATCGACAAGATTGAACGCGAATCTGATATACCGTATGAACCTGCCGCTACTCTCCCTGGAGAAGGAGAGCGGCGGCAACCCTAATTTCTCTCTACCTCGTCTCTAAGCCTCTATCGATCAGTTTGGGTTCCCGTAAGTTAGCCTCCTTTTATAGGAGAAGTTGGCTAACTTACGGGTTACAAGGAAGCCCACGGGCTGATACACATTTGTGGCCCGTATTACACGATTAATTAATAACTACACAAATACAAAGAAAACTAACTAGATTGAACACCATAAAATATTCCCAACAATCTCCCCCTTGGTGATCAATCGTGTTGAATCAGCATTGCAGCGCATATATCTTTGTTTTTGTTGTTATTGAGCTTCCTTTGTCTTTGAACTTGACTTCTGAGGAAGGCTATCTGAAGAAATCCTTGCAATCTCCCCTTTGATGTCTTCTTGACAATTTGATCTTTGATGTCGGGGGTTGAGGGACCTTCTGTATCTTGCATGTAATCCTTGCCTTCCAGAAGTTGCTCTTGATCAGCTAGGATGAAGTCCGGTGACGCCTCTAGAATGAATATTCTTTGGAGAATAGGAGACACCCATGGAATTCATCTTCAGGACACGAGTATTTGACCTCTGTCTCCTCCACAATGTAGTCTTTTTGACTATTTGGAATGAATGCATTTGAGGAGAACTTGTCGGTGGCACAGCGGAACATAATGATGGTTGATTTGTGAGTGTAGCTGACCATTTGATTTGAGTTGCGGAGATAGTAGAGAGGATGTTGAATTTTGTGATGGAGGAGTGAAGTGTCCCAGAATGATTTGTTCAGTGTTAACAACATGTGGACCACTTGATTTTGAGATTTGCATCTCGACATCTTGAGATTTGGAATTTCGAGTTTAGGAATTTCGAGTTTTGGGATTTCGACATTTGGGATCTCGATGTTTTGGATCTCGACATTCTGAAGATTTCGAGATTTTCAAAATTTCTCGATGTTTTGAATCTTTCAAAGTTTGCAGTTTCTTGGAACTCATAATTCGAATCTTGACATCCTTTGCAGTTAATCGAAGCTTTACATTATAAGGATCTCTAAATGATTCCCTGATTATATATGTTTCATGAGTTTTCGATGTTCTGATGTTTTTTCAAACAGCAAGTTTTCGAGATTATGAGGTTTTCGAAACTCCAAAGTTTTCGATGTTCAAACATTTTGAAATTCTGCAGATTTCGATATTCTGAGATTTGTTTTGCAGGTGGATTTGGCCATTATTCTTCGAGGCAATCTCTAGAATTTTGTTTAAAATCCACCTTCTCTCGACATTCAACATCGAGCACCTCATCTTTCGAAGAAATTCCTCAAAAACTCAAAATTAGAGATTTTCTGCGACACCGCACTGTTTTGGCCATAACTTTTGACTCGGTGATCCGATTTGAGCAAACTTTTTTTTGTTGGAAAGCTAACGAGACGATCTACATTAATTCTTGGGCTATGCCCCAGAACCCATTCTCACGCGCCCTCACTCGCAGTCTTTGAGGGTCAAAAAGTTAGTTTTCCGACAAACATTCTAAATCACCGATGTCCAGGTCAAAACTTAGGCTAATCTGTTCATATTCTTTAAATGTCAACCCTGAGGTCAAAGCTTTTCTAAACTTCAATGAAAAGGTCTGAAAATCGTAGATAATTCAATCAACCTCGCGTCAACGGTCATCTTACAACAATCAACAATCAACTGCTGAAGCCTCCCCTGACTCGTCAACATTATGTGATCATCAATATGCTGAAATTCTACATGATGAGGTCAGGGAAACCGTCATGTGTGGTACATGTTTAGATTGCTCCACACACATGGCGGGGATGACAAGCTGTGAGCAATCAAACCTTGCACATTCTGAGGGGGAGTTTCAGTTTTCTCCTCCTGGCGCCTTACACCGACAAAGCAAGGAATCTCTCAACGGATGCAACATTCTAGGGGGAGTGTTCAAAGTAATCCTCCCCGGTGCCTAACAATGACAAAGCATACCGAGTGCTCCAGTTGAGGGGGAGTACAGAGAGAAAATGAAGAAAGTAATGAGAGAACATGTCCCTATGGCTTAGTAAACCCAACTAAGCCTACCCAAGGGACAAAGCCGAGCGTAAGTGCGTATGTGAGCGAGTGAGTGAGTGAACATTATGAGCATTAGGAAGCAGAAGGCTCAAGTGAGAAGAAAAACAATTATCAATGATGAGTCTGCTACCTCAATTGCCTGCTATGAATTGAACATTTGCTCCTAGCCACTAAAATACTCTGGACTATCCCCATAGGTTCAGGACTGAATTTATTCAGATCCCGGGTAGAAGTCGCTGCATTTTGTCCAAACGGCGCATGCACAACCCTACCCTAGACCACTCACTTGTCTCCCAACAGACAGGTGTTTAATCATAGTTCACGGGGAACCGCATCTCTCATTACTGTCTCCTTCCGAGGCAAGTAATACTGACTACAGTGGCCTCAGCCCCATGCCACTGAACTTTCATTGATCATGTTGTGTCTAGTTACTCACTCCCAAATGTTTTGAAATTTTCTAGGACACAGACACATTTTAGAGTCAGTTGCTAGTCTTCAAGACTTGCGAGAACTTCCATAGGGCTCATCTATTACAGATGTAGACCAATAATTGGAAGGAAGTCCTGCTGTTGCAACATAAGAATCACCAACATTTTCAGGCCATTGCCTTAGAGTTTATCTCTATAGTGATGATAACGGGCGTCTTCACGACCCCGGGGGGCTACGTTATCTTTTTTAGATTCTGCTTGTTTTTCATGTTTTTATTTCCGCAGAATAAAAGAATAAAAGCATGACGTCCCGATTCATCGGATCTTCATGAGGGGGAGAGTGGTCCACATGCTGTTAACACTGAACAAATCATTCTGGGACACTTCACTTCTCCATCACAAAATTCAACATCCTCTCTACTATCTCCGCAACTCAAATCAAATGGTCAGCTACACTCACAAATCAACCATCATTATGTTCCGCTGTGCCACCGACAAGTTCTCCTCAAATGTATTCATTCCAAATAGTCAAAAAGACTACATTGTGGAGGAGACAGAGGTCAAATACTCGTGTCCTGAAGATGAATTCCATGGGTGTCTCCTATTCTCCAAAGAATATTCATTCTAGAGGCGTCACCGGACTTCATCCAAGCTGATCAAGAGCAACTTCTGGAAGGCAAGGATTACATGCAAGATACAGAAGGTCCCTCAACCCCCGACATCAAAGATCAAATTGTCAAGAAGACATCAAATGGGAGATTGCAAGGATTTCTTCAGATAGCCTTCCTCAGAAGTCAAGTTCAAAGACAAAGGAAGCTCAATAACAACAAAGACAAAGATATATGCGCTGCAATGCTGATTCAACACGATTGATCACCAAGGGGGAGATTGTTGGGAATATTTTATGGTGTTCAATCTAGTTAGTTATCTTTGTATTTATGTAGTTATTAATTAATCGTGTAATACGGGCCACAAATGTGTATCAGCCCGTGGGCTTCCTTGTAACCCGTAAGTTAGCCAACTTCTCCTATAAAAGGAGGCTAACTTACGGGAACCCAAACTGATCGATAGAGGCTTAGAGACGCAGAGGCGAGGTAGAGAGAAATTAGGGTTGCCGCCGCTCTCCTTCTCCAGGGAGAGTAGAGGCAGGTTCATACGGTATATCAGATTCGCGTTCAATCTTGTCGATTTCTTTCTATCTGCTTCTATATTACTGCTTATGATTGTATGATTGTTAGTATTTTGGGACTAACAGGAGCATACAGTGTGTCATGACATTATTATATACTTCTAATTAATCCAATTAGTTTTTTAATATGTATTAGGAAATACTAATCCCATTTTTATGGAGAATACAAAAGTATATATAAATACTCCATGTGATTTATATTTATTTAGGAGAATCACACAATGTGTATGTAGTCACAATTTACTTATTTTATTATACATTATTAGTATGATTTGAATTCTTTTATCTCAATTCGTATATTTAAATTCTTCTCCTATTTTAAGTGTAATTTGAAAGGTAACTTTATTAGTAACTACAAAATGTAAATTTTGAAAATAAATTTTTAAAATTCAATTTATTCTTTTATATGTTTTTTTATTTCTTTAAATGAAAATAACTATTATCATTAAAAGCAACTTAATATTGTAGAATAGAAAAGTTATACCGTGCATTCGAATAAATATGTATCAATATGAAATTTGTCAAGAAAAGTTATACGGAGTATATTCAGTATATTACAATTGAACTAACAATTATCACATATTATTGGTCGTCCTCCAGGCATTGCATGGATTTGACCTATAGTATTAGTATATATATTGAAAGGAATAAGAACTATATAAAACATTTCAAAATATATGTATTTTATTAAAAAAGATTATACAAAGTATTTCAAAATACCAATTGAAAGTTTTACAAATTATGCATGGTTTCTAGAACCACTTCGATAAATATTAAAAAATATGGAATGAATTCCAATATTACAAAATATTCAAAGTATACATATTATCTCTAAATGGAATGATAGATTTCTTTGTAGTTTATTTGAAAATGGAATTTTTTCAATTTATGACTTGAAAGATATGTTCATTATCAATAAGAGATCTGAAAGATAAAAACATATCAATATAGGGCTTGAGTGATCGAAAACTATCAATCTAAGACCTAAAACTTCACGAGTTTTAATATTCTTTAAAAAAATAAATATTTTTTAATGTTATAAAACTAAGAAACTTTTGAGAAGAAAGAATCATAAAAAATTAGCAACAAAATTAATAATAAAAATAAATAGATACATAATCTAATAATAGAGTAATATTCCGATCAGGAGGTTCTGACCAGAATCGTCGTCCGGCCGCCGCGATTTGAGGCGATTCCCAGTGGAGTTCTTTAATGAAATTTTGTGAGTATGTTCGATATGAATTTAGATTATGTACACAAAATATCAACTTAAAATTAAATCAACAAGTCAATTAAAAAATTATTGAAAAACATAGCGCCAAAATATGTATTTAAAATGCAGTGTTTTTCAATTATTTATTTAACTAACTTCCCAAATGATTTTAAACTGAAATTTTGTAGACATAATCTAAACTTCATGAAGAACATGGTCCAAAGATTCCATAAAAAATCTTCACCAAGAACTGATTTGAATCACGGAGGCCGAACGACGGAATTAAGGAAGGAGGTGAACTTTTATATCGAGTATAATCTTACGAATTTAAGACTTAGTTGCAATTAATGATTATTCATTAATTGGATTCAATAGCGCAAATTATACCGTGTCACCGTGTGCATGGTGTGTCGATCCCAAAAACTGTACCGTTTTTGTTAAAAAAAATATTAATCCTCCTCCGCCCCTGCATCACTTCGTTCATTGCTCTACCTGCATCCTTTGGACCTTCACTCGCAGATGGCCGTCTTTGTCCGAATTGAGGGGCGGCGCCGCAGTGAATTTTCGAGCAACCCTGGATCTATGTTGAAATCTAATCTCTGCCTGCTGCGATGATCTGATTCCGTTTAATTCCTCATGTGCGCAGTGGCGGAACCAGCCTGGGGATCTTGGAGGGGCACATATTGGGAAAGGAAAAGGTCTTCGACAAGGTGGGCGGCTTGCCGCGTCCCTGAATTTCCGGTCTCCGACAAGATAGACAGTGGCAAGAGGAAGTGCCAAAGAGGTTACGACGTTGCGTACTATGAGCCCTTTAGAAGAGTTTGTGTCGGCCTTATGAGCCGTTGTGGCTTGCTACGCAATAGAGGTCTCCAATAGGCGGCAAGGCAAGCAACTTTTTATTTTTTATTTTTATTTTATTTTGCTTTATTTTTATTTTTATTTTAGTGTCTTGAGGACTGTAATAAATATAATGTTTGAAAAAATGACATGTATATTACTAACAGAGTTTCCTCTGACAAAAATATGATTAGTTACGTTTTTGGATAAAAATATGACAAGTCACTGTGTACGAGTATCTGGACAGAAGTCACTATAAGGTATTTCAAAGTGACATGTCACTGGTAGATGACGAGTCACTAGAAATTAGTCACTGAATATGTCACTTTTTAGAAAATTTTAAAATAAGTTTTATTTTATCTTTTGAATTTAATTTAGTGCTACTTTTATCCCACTAACATTGGAACAAGAGGAGGTGACATAGTTATTAAGAAAAGTAAGTTTATATGATTAATATCGAATTGATAAAATCTTTTATTATACAAAAGCAAAATGAAAACTGCACAGTGTTCCCGCCCAAAAAGTGTACAGTAATGAGCCGGGCCTGTTAAAGTGGGTCCAAAATCAGGTCATGCTGAAATTACTTTATTGGCTCAATGAAATAATGTTGAATAGAGGCTGCAATTCTAAAAAAATGGGGGCATTGTACTCCAAATTCCAAAGGCCACAAATTTAGTCTTTTTGCCTTTCTTGAGCCACACAACATTAAATACAATGTACTAGCTCTAATAGTAAATGACAACTTTACATTGAATAGAGTGCTGCAATTCTAAAAAAATGGGGGCATTGTACTCGAAATTCCAAAGGCCACACATTTAGTCTTTTTGCCTTTCTTGATCCACACAACATTAAATACAATGTACTAGCTCTAATAGTAAATGACAATTTTACATTGAATAGAGTGCTGCAATTCTAAAAAAAATGGGGGCATTGTACTCGAAATTCCAAAGGCCCAGTGATGGTTAATCCGTATTTTGTTGCTCAGTGATGGTAAATGATGGCCCAGTGAGCAATGCAGTTTTAGTTGAACAGAGGGCTGCAATTCTAATAAAAAATGGGGAGCATTGTACTCGAAATTCCACAGGCAACACATTTACTCTTTTTGCCTTTCTTGAGCCACACAACATTAAATGCAATGTACTGGCTATAATAGTAAATGGCAACTTCACATTTAATTGGGTGTGCCTTGACCAATGGTTATTACACAATTACACAATTTGTTCTACACCACTTCCTCCCTTTCCCAATATAAATACCCATTGAAGGGGTCAGAAACCACACCACAACCAAGCTAATCTCTTTTACATTCTCTGTATTTTCAAGTTTCCTAAGTAATTTGTGAGCTATGACAGGTTCCTCAACACAAAGAGGCATGTGGTCCCTGATCAAGGATGTTGATCATACCAAGACCACTTGAGCCTTAAGGGTGCGGGTGGTCAGAGCATACGAAGTCCCACCTCACTCAAAAGGGGGGCAACACTCGAGATGGTGTTGCATGATGAGCTGGTAGAAAAACATATTCACAGATTTTCATTTTGATATCAAAAACATATTTTGATATCAAAAACATATAATATCATATTATCATAATAATATTATTACTATTATATTATTATTATTATTATTATTATTATTATTATTATTATTATTATTATTATTATTATTATTATTATTATTATTATATTCACACTGCCCACATTTTGATATTTAGGGAGACCGCATTCACGCTATAATAAAGAGGCCACAAGTGGAGGTTTACAAGACCATGATCAAGGAAAACAAAAATTACGCTCTAAGGACGTTTTTGGTCCTGGACAACTACCAAACTGTCAAAACAAGTGACCATCCTTACCTGATTCAATTCATCAGCAAAACTCAGTTCACCGAAGACACTAGGACAGAGTTGCCAATGATGGTGTACGACTTTCAGCCATTTGACATGCTGCAGGCTCAACGCGTCGTCAAAGACAAAAAAATGATTGGTGAGGACAACCGAAAACTTTTACGTTTTAATTTACTGAAATAAATATCTTATGCTGGAATTTGGTTATAGATGTCATAGGCAAAGTCATATGTAAGAGCGGCGTTCAAAACCATATCATAAGTGGAAGGGCTTAAAGGATGATGGAGTTGACATTAGGAGACCCTGAGTGAGTTTTGTTTAAACATTTGTATACAATCTAAACTTAAGAGAGAAATGGTTATGGAGCATGAATAATATTTATTATTAAATAACTTTTATAAATTGCAGAGGGAACAGACTCGGATGTGTATTGTGGAACAAGTACATATACCAGTATATGGAGTATGTGACCGAGAATGTTGGTGTGCCTGTGTATGTAATTTTTCAGCTATGCAGGCCAAAGAGATACCAAGGTAATCCCTTTTGTAGGGATGTTTATGACTCCTGCCATCAGGCCAAAACCGTATGATTCTAAAAAACTAATTACTCATGACAGGCACCCTATCTGTATCATCTTCATTTGATGTGTCAAAACTGATAATCAATGGGAACTCAAGCGAGTTTATTGAATTTCAAAGCGAGTAAGAATTTTTTAAAAGTAGGCATTGTAATGAAGGCTTATAAAAACTATACTCATAATGAACTCTGCACTATGATACAGATTTCCTGTAGATGGTGATGACAACGTCACAGCCACAACCGTCTCACAATCTTCCCATGGTGATGAGAGCCGTGAAGATGTCCTTGCGGGCCAAGCTGTCATAACGACTATTCAGGAATTGGTTAAGGCTACAGAGGTGTGTACAAGATGACCTATTCTTTTAGGTGACGACATTTTCAACGCTTATGTCAAATATTGTGTTTACAAACAGGATGGGGTTTACTGGATCATCGGAGACATTGTGTCTCTTGAAAACTATAGAGAATGGTGTTACCTAGGCTGTCCCACATGCCACAAAAAACTAAAACCAGAGGATGATAGGTTCATGTGTACCATTTGCCATGTCACAATGGCAGATGGGGTGTATCGGTAAGAGAATTGCTATTGTATGTAGCTATGATTTGTATGAATCGAGTCCACTGAAAAATATTTGGCATTCATTTTAGGTACAAAGTCAGCATTTGCATCATGGACCAGACTGGTCATTCAACCTTCATTCTGTGGGACAGGGAATGTATTGAAGTTTTTGGAAAAACACTTGCTTTTCTAATGGCTGAGATGGAGAAGGCAAAAACTTGATTTCAATTTATATGTGAAATTATCAAAATTAAAAAATTTTATGACTAATGCAAATGGTTTGAATAAAACAGAAGACTGAAGACCAAACTCGATTTCCAGAAGACATAGAAAGCTTGGTTGACCAAAAGGGCCTGTTTAAAATATAACTGAAGACAAAAAGTGAGGAGAATACTTACAAGAAAACAAAGTCATTTACTGTGGTGACCATGATAAGAGACCCTAAGGTTATGGCATTGTATGAAGCGGATAAGGAACAACAATCAGTTCATGACACTCCAACTGAGAAGGTATTTTCAATGGTTTTGGAGTTTATAGAAATTTGCTTTTGTATAATAAAAGATAATGACCAATACCTTAAATTTAGATTGGGTCAAGTCTCCACAATGGTGAAAGTTCTACAGCGAGGAAAAAGGGAAAGATGTCCAAAAACAAGAGGTATACCGACTGTATTACTCTTATATATTTGTATAAGTAGGGTTATATATTAAAGAGATATGCTTACATTTTTTCTTAAAAAGGTTGTCGAGGCAATTGACCTCCCAGACTCACCCCCACTGGGTACGCAGAAGGTGGTGGAGGTGGAAATGGATGGACAACTCAAAAGGAATCTGATAGATGAATTCTCTACAAGTGGTGCTGTGAAGAAGCTGAAGATAAAAATTAAAGAAGAACCACTCTGAAGAACAAGGGCCAGTCTGTTGGTCGGGACTGATATTTTGTACTGAGGCATCCTTGGACTTATATTTTGTTTTGTGGTGTTGGGTTGTAGCCTAAAACACTATCTTGGGCATGATTGTGTCTTACTTTCGGCAGTGTGGACAAACTAAGCATGACACTATATTTCTCCTATGGGAACTAAGTACTATTTTGAAAAATTGTATTATCGATATGATGATGTGATATGTTTATTTTGCAGGACACGGGCAACACTTCAACAGTTTGGGAGAATAGATTTAAAAAATAATACTTCAATGTTTATAAATGAGTGTCTCCAGGTCCTATGAATTTCATTCAGGTCATGGGAGTACATAAGGATGAGGCTAAGGTCAAGGACAATGGACCTTCTAAAGTCCACCGAGGGGATCTAGGAGGCACTAAGCATGAGTTTATATTAAGTCCAAAATGTAAATATTATTAATGTTGTAAAGCAATGGTTTTAATGGAAAAGTGATATTGGTTTTGCACTTGATGCGTTAGAATATTACATATGAATACACATTTATGAGTTACAACTGTCAAGAAAGAATAGAAATAAAATGGCAAGTGAGTTGGTGAATGGAGTACATACCTCAAACAGCCGTAGAACACCACCTGCATTTCCTATTTGGACTAATTAATATTACAGACCCCTTAAATATATTACATACCTCTAAGGTCCTTGAACTATCCCTAAACATTTTTCTAAGTCAGAAATCTAAGCCAAAGCATCCACATGAATGAGGAATTGTGCAATACCTGCAAACAACATAAGTTAGGGAATAAGATCACAAAGATTTTAAGTAACTAATGACTTAGATGTTATCTTACACATTTAAAAAAAAAAGTTTCTGAATTATTGATCAAAACAGGTTAAAAAAGCAGTTTAAATGTCAACTTATCTTCTAAAGTTTAACTTTACTCCAAAAAACCCAAGTATTTTGTAAAATCTTTTATTATAAATTGTTTCAAGATTGAATATAAGCAATAAGCAATTCCTATAAACCAGAGAATGTTTATTTTTAGTTAAAAAATTAAAGTACTGAAATTAAGTTTGTAAAATGAAAAATGAAATTAAAATATTCTTTTATAATGGATCAGCAATATTCAGATATATATAACAATAAATGTTTTTAGAAAATGAAAGAAGTACATTTTTTCTTGACATAAATATAGGCATACTTAAAAAAATTAATTATATATATGTAGTTTGTTATATGTGTATGTATTCTAAAAACAAATTGATGTCTATATATTTATATATATAGATGTTTAAATAATATCTGCTCAAATTAGATTGAAGTGTCAAAATTTTAAAAGACATTTCACCAGTTCGAAGTTGAAATCATGTAATTTGGGTAAAATATATGAAAAATTGTTGTGGAATTGACTAATGTTTATAAAATACAGTGCTTAAAGTAACTACGTAATATGAAATATCGATTTAAAAATCACTTTTATGAGGGATACGGTATTTAGAGACATATATGACATTAAGTGGAAAAAAATTTAGAGAAGTACATGGTTGCACTTGAGAATTTGAGCATATGTATTTTGGCCAGAATAAGGTAGCCCAGGTATTTTGGCTTTCAATAACCTAGGTTCCCAAAGGCCGTGAGTGAAAAGTAAAGAAAAATATCTGAATGAATGTTTTTCGGAATTTCTTAAAAAAATTCTGTAAATGCTTAAAGATTTCGTAAAAGGCCCAAAAAGAATATGTATAGTTCCGAAAAATATCTATAGTTACTGATTTAATTATGTATATAAACATTAAATTAATAATAAATTTCAAAGTATGCAAAACTCATGAATGAACTTACCAGCACCACTGTACTGAAGAGCTGCTGGCAATTAATGCAGCTATCAACTGACAGTGTTTTAGAGTGTGTGGCTCAAGGGTATTAATGAATTGTAAGAGTACTCAAATTAAAGATTTCGTAAAACAGTTTTTTATACGAAAAAGCATACTCATAAATTTAAGTACACAGTAGTAGGCGTGTAGGTCGGCTAGCATTAAATGGAGATATCAGCAATATCTCAAAGGAGAATTTTGCATAGGTCTGCTCATTAAATGAGAATAGACAATGTAGGTCTGCTCATTAAATGAGCATACACAGCATCAAATGAACTTCATAATTAATTACAAAAGTACTTACCAATGGCCTATAACCAATATTCCAATCTGTAAGCATATATACCACTTCACTTGCATTAACTCCTTGCTCAGAAACTCATTTACTGAGCTCAACAACAACATACAACTTCAAAGTCCAACAGAGAGTTTTGAGTATAAAGTGTGACGACTGACGACGACTGTTCTTACCCCACCAAGCAAAGGTATGTTTCGAACTATGATATGTATTCAATTAAGCATAGACGAAAAAAATGAAATATGTACAATGAAAATGGTTGGTTATGAATATAATGAACTTTCATAAAATGCAAAGTGGATCATACTTTAACTAATGAATATAGATTAAATAACAAATTTTAACTTTGCCATTTAAGATGAGATGCGAGTCAAGCACAAATGATTCTCCAAAATGTCACGCATGTGGGAGGATGCATGGACTCTTTTGGTTGGTGCCATGCTTTCGGTGTAAAAATTTAAATCACTTTTACTGTATGAATCCTCTAAACAAAAAAAGGTATACTGGTAGATACTTATGCAACGAATGTCAAGAATGGATAGATGCAGGTCATGAAATACCTAGAAGATCAGGTCGGATCATAACCCTGAACCAGAAGTATTTCAATGAAAAAATATGTGTGGGGATGAGTTTTGGTTGGCTAAACATGGCATGAAAACACTGTTGCATTCCCAGTATGAAATATGTCCATGGTTTTTGTTAGTTATGTAAAAGTAGTGAACTCTTTTAGGTTTTGAAATTGTGTGGCCTGTATTATCGGATGAAATGCTCAGCCATGTTCAGTTTGCTATGTAAAAGAATGCTATGTAATGGATGAAATGTTATGGAATGCTATGTAATCAATGAAATGTTATGGAATGCTATGTAATCAATGAAATGTTATGGAATTCTATGTAAGAAATGAAATATTATGGAATGCTATGATGAATGTTTTTTTTTTGAAAACATACATGTGCAGTTAGCAATAATGAATGTTTAATTCATACATATGACAAATGCTATATAAAAAAATTTAAATAAGTAAAGTTTACATGTTTTCACATTCAATACAAAATTAAATATATATTAGATGAGATGCAGATGAAAGTAAATCAGAAATTAAGGAGTTCATGGGTTACCGATGTTCAGGCCAACGGACTGCCAGACCACGCAGTTCCGAAGACCACTATGGTGGCTGGCAGGGTATCTGGCAGTCCTATGGGATGGGCCTTAACAACCAGTAACAACATGACCACCATACCTGAAAATATTGATAGTGAAATGAGATGAAAAAAGTGTATGAACCGTCTTTTAAACAAAATTAATTCATAAGTTAACATTAAATGACTGAAATTCCTTACAATTATTGTAGTCTTGCATCATTTGTAAACAACAGAATGACAGCTCTTGAATGAAGAAGATTACGAAAAGCACAACAATCAACCGTAAAAGAAGTCTTCAAGACTTGACCAACAAAGGTAGTTTTGTATACACTATCAATGTCTTTTACATTTGTAAAACAAGGTACATAAAAAGAGGTTCAGAAACTATTTGTGATACAACCCTAAATGAGGGTTAAGTCTATACAGAATAACTATCGAACATTAGGGTTTCAAACTTAAGAAATCAGATTCAGATTTTAGAAATTGTGAACAATTGAAATTTAGGCAAGGTTGATTAGGGTTTCAAAGTTTAGAAATGAGATTCAGATTTTAGTTACTGACAAAGATTCAGATTTGTAGAAGGGGAGATGCACGTACAGTCTGTACAAAAAAAACTTTTGAACATTAGGGACAATCCAGTTTGTGAGTGACAAAGAAATAACATTTGGGAGGAAATAGGAGACTGTTGATACATGTCAACTATCAATCTAGAACATTAAACAGTAGGCAAAATAAAAACTGCACTGTGTTCCCACCTATTCGTTGATAATCTATACAAAACAAAACAAACATTTAAAATATGAATTGGCCAGAAAAAAACAGACCTGAGATCCTTTTAGGAATAGGGTATAATATTTAACAAAGTTTGAATTTTAAAACAGAAATGACCCAAATATGCTAAGTAGAATAACAATAACGTTTAAGATAATTAGGTATCACTCAGACTGAGATCATGTGGTATCATTCATACAAGTGCAAAACAGAAAATGAAAGCATATATTTAAAATATGAATAGGTCGAAAGCAGACTCAGATCTGAAATAAAACTAGATTCCAAGGGTATTTTTATGTAGAAACGCATACATATTTTTCGTGGCTTTAACATCTGATCATCCAGATGACATGCAAGTTCACAGATTGAAAAAACCTAGGTCTAAGATCATGGAATGTCACTCAACCCGGTTTGAAAATGAACCTAAAAAAATCAACTCAAAAAAATAAAACTGAAGAACAAAGCAGATCTAAAATGTTTGGATCTGAACAGGCGTTTTCCGCCGTCGTAGTGGTTCAATAAGACCACATCGGCCAAATGAGTTGAACACCGGAATATTAATGAAAAAGATCCTAAATTTAAATATATGAGAACAAATCAAAGGAACTCTAATACAAAAGGATAAGAGATATGAGATGTATACCACAATCGAAACGATGGCATCTCTGAAATCCTTCATTATCACTCAAGGTGGTATGAACTTCGTTCATGGTGTTAAGCAAAATGGTCAGGTGGAGAGCTAAATTATTGTTGAGGACGATAAGAGTAGCAACACATAATCGGAAGTTTTTAGTGAGGCTGATGGGTCAGAACTGGAGCATTAACGCCAAACACAGAAACCACCGGAAGAACTGAAGGTTGTAGAAGGCGGCCGCAGGGTAAAGGTTCGGACCGAAGGGTAATAAGGGTTGGGTAGAGTGTTTATATAGGAGGGTAGGTCGGGCTTAGGGATTGGGCTGGACGGTTGGGCCTAGGTTATTAGTGAAGTATATTAGGCTTAGGGAGTAGTTGTTTGGGCTGAGGTATTTTTATGTATTATAGAAACTATATTTTAAAATAGGCCGGGCTGAGTTGTTTGGGCTGAGGTATTTTTATGTATTATAGAAACTATATTTTAAAAACTATATTATATTATAATGTTATTATAAATTATAAATTATGTTTTCATATTATAAATTATAAATTATAATTCATTATTCTGCAAAAAATATTATATTATTATACCATAATATTATTACAAAGATTGTTATTAATCTATATTAAAGCAAGTATAAAAAAATAATATTTTATTGTTAGACTTTCTCAAAGAATACTAGGAAGTATTATTAATAGGAAAGTGGCAAAGTTTGTTAGAACAACAAAAAAGTGAATGTTGACAAAGTCCAAT